TTTATTTAATTTTATATCATATTTCATTAAATGTTACGTAAAATTATAAATTTATAATTTTATGTGATATTATAATTATATTATTATCGTTATTTTAAAGTACATAAAAAGTTAATTTTAAATAAATAAAATATCAAATATGCATCTTTAAACAAAAAAAAAAAATTATCGGATAATAGTAGCTCATGGTTGAAACTTACAATTGCAAGGAATTTGCCTCCCAAGTGAGTATGCACCTAAAGAAAAAAGAAAAAAAGAAAAAAACAATCTGTCCTTACACCTAAAATTTTGCCCCGTAATTTACAAAATCGTCCAATTTATTGGCAAACATGAAAATCTTGACTTGAAAGTTTAAAATTAAATTTCAAAGGAAACACAGAACAGAAGGCATTCAAAATTCCCGTACGGTGACACCATTTCTTGCTAGTCATTTCCGGTTTCTTCCTCCCTATATTGTCGCAATCTTAATCAACCGGAGTAAAGAGCACGGATCGATTTTTCCTCCGTTTTCCCAGAAAAATTATTCGTCATTTTCATTTCTACTCTCCGTCGTTCCATCTTCGCCCTCGAAAAGGTGATCACGGAGTTACGCCGGAGGTACGTTCAACTTCTCCCTCTCCCTTGTTTCGAATTTTTTTCTTTCTGTTTGGTTTCTCGGAAAAGTTTTAGTGTCTCTGCAGTCACTATTAACTTTGAGTGTCTGCTTGAGTTAGACTTGGAATTTTAATTTCTGTTTATATTAGTTGCATTAAGTGCAGTTTATTTATGGTTTTTTTTTTTTTGGGTTTTCTGTGCTAGTTGTTTCTGTCCCGGTTGCTTTCTTTTCGTTTCAGAATGTTTCTTCAATGATACATAATTGGAATCTATGGTTGCTAGGAGTATAGATAGATTTTGTTTAATGGTGACTGCTGGAATATGGGGCGAACTTCGGCCTAACTTTAAGGTTTGGTTTATGAATTTGGTGTGTGTCTTGGCAATAGTTGACCCCAATTATAATTCTTAGTATTTGATCAAGGATTCTAAATGTTTTAGTCAAAATTTTAAAAGGGGTACATGATAACTTTACTTGGTTATGGGGATACTAGATTGAGGATTTTGTATGCGCAAAGAAAAGATTGAAAATTTTCATTTGACTTTATCATTTTGGGTTTGCTGCTTTAATGTCAAAAGGGCAGCATATTGTTGCTTGATCCAAGGAGCTACTTGTCTGGGGTTATGTGCAACAGTACATGTTTGCTTGCCCATGGTTATTCCTGTTTCAGCTTGGGAAGTGGCTATCTCCTAGGTTCAAGCATAGATAGAGCCTGCATTCAATTGTTTTTAAACCTTAAAAGTGTTTTTCTTACTTTAGGTTTACATTAGTTCTTTCTTATTGGGGTGCTTGTGCTTTATGACATGTATGGCAATGCATGGTATATTTGAGAAGCACATTGAGGTATTGTGATAGAGGGAGAGAGTTCATGAATAATTAAGCATTCTAATGGCAGAAGATATCTAAGGGTCTAATCATCTCTGTTTCCTGTTGGTTTGTATTAGTTTTCGTTTCTGTAAGAACTAGTTATTTTCATGAAGGAATTAAATTAATGTAGCAGCTTAGATATTTTGGGAACTCACTTAAAACAACCATGAAGTTTACGATTTAAGGTCTATACACTACATCTTTTCTTTATTGAATTTGCTGCCCATCAACATATTAAGTTCCATTTGTTTTTACAGCTACTTTTTTAACATTCTGCCTCTGTAGTTCTTCATGTTTGATTATTCCTTTAAATATAATGTTCTGATGACATCAGGTCTTCTGTTCCTCCGTTAACTAATGCTCAAAAGCCTCTGATTTCTCTCTTGTCACTCAGTTTGTTCTGAACTTACAGTTAGGCGAACTGAAAATAGAATGGGACTCCTTTTACTCAGGTTCAGTAATTATGATGGCTTCATAATCAGATAGAAAATACTTTGTCTATGAATTTTTTGGTTTGAAAAGCTTATTTGTTTAGATGTCGAGGTAACTTACTGTATGTTGCATCCTGTTGTCTACAGTTCTGTCAGCAGAAAACCAAATGAAAGTATGAGGCTTATTGTGACCACATTTTTCGGAGTAGTTCTTGGCTTCTTAATAGGAGTTTCTTTCCCAACATTATCAACGACAAGGGTAAATGAACTGAGTAGTTTCCAACGCATCTTACTGAATTTATAATTATTAGTTACTTTTTCTTTAGCTAGACAATGGAACCAATGCATCTTACTTTTTCCAATTGGCAGCGTAATGTTACATCTGCCCTTCTTCCTGGCATTGATTTTGCATATGAGGATAAAAAGACAGGCCTCTCAACTCAAACTGCTTTGAACGTCTTGTCCATGAGAAACAGCAGCTCCGCTCATAATGCTTCTGATACATCAAAGGTATAACCTCCATGATTTGGGCATTTACATAATATCCTGAGTTAGAGCCTCTGTTTGGCTAAAGTGGCTGACTGCTCATTTCTGTTAAGGATCTTGATGTATCATATACATTGTTGACCAAGTACCTAAGTGGTGATTAATGCTCAATTCTTAGGTATCCAAATACTGTATTACTGTTTCTACCAATGAGTTAGCCAGATGTTGCTTTTTATGTAAAAGAAGCAAATGAAAGCAAATCAGCTTTTTGGAAACTAAGGCTTTTTTAATGCATTATGCATTATTGTTTCTCTTCATCTTTGTGCTTTTATTTAGGAGAAAGAATGATGCTCAGGATTTGTATGTGAGGGAGGGCTTGCATATCCATTCTTTTAAGGATAGAATTACTTCAGTGCAGGTGCTATAGGAGGCAGGAAAAGTGTGATTTTCAGTGATATTCTTCTATGGTATATTTCATTTGATTCTTTGCTTGAAATGACTCCTCCAAAATTACTTTTTGTGCTGGTTGCTTTTTGCCTCAAAGGTCTCTGCTATAACTGCTTGTCTGCATCTTACTGAGAAAGCAGGTGATTTAAATGTCATGCATGCATGCAATGCAAGGGCTTTAAGATCACCATTTTCTGCTACTTGTTATTAAGCCTCTCAATCTTTTGGTTAAATTACACTAGCCTTTTAGTTCACATTGTTGTTTCTAAATCTCCTGGTTGGTTCACTCCAATAATCTGGAACTACATCAGGGAGTTTGAAATAAAACATCTAGTTTTGCCAGAAAATGTTGTCTTTGAAATAAAACATCTAGTTTTGCCAGAAAATGTTGTCTTCATGCTTATTTTTGCTCCAGCATGTTTTTTACATGCATCTAATGTTCCTTATGAATGCGTTACTTAAATCCATCTTTTTACACTAAGAACATGCATGTCTTTCTTTTTTTTCTTTTTTCCTTGTGATAGCTGATTTTTATATTCTACATTGATTCTTTTTGTGCTTTCTTTATGATTCTGATGAAGATCTGGGTCCGATCAAATCCTCGAGGAGCTGAAAGGTTGCCACCAGAAATCATTAGAGCTGAGTCAGATCTATACTTTCGAAGATTGTCGGGCAACCCAAAGGAGGTCTGCTTTCTAGTATCACTTTTTATGATATAGGCTTTAAGCCAGTCCTTAAGAAGATAAAGCCTCTAGGACTGCATTGGATATTACTACTGAAACTGGGGTGTTATCTGAAGAAATTGAGAACCATCTGTTTGCAGTCGTTTTTTTGGTTTGCTTATTCTAGGAAACATTTTAGTTTTGAGAGAAATTGACTCATAAGAGATACCAATGCCTGGTTGGGACTTGAAAGGTGATATGAATGAAAATTTGGAATAGTAGCTAATATATCTTGCCCAAGAGGCTAAGAAAGGAATAATAGCTAGTACAGGAGACTAATTTTCTCTGGAAATGGAGAGAGATAATAACTAGATGCCTGGATAATGACTTAGAAATACCTCTGATGTTGAAATATTGGAATACAGTTATCTCACATTAAAACCTCTGATTTTCTATCAACTTGGTATCAACAGGACTTGACCTACAAGCCAAAGTATCTTGTCACATTTACTGTTGGTTTTGATCAAAGTAAGAATATCGATGCAGCAGTTGAGAAGGTATATCTTCTTTCCTCCTTCCTAAGGACTGCCAGATTCTATGGTGTCTTTTTTTCCTTTTCTGTGGATGGAGGTGGGGATATGTGTGTTTGGGTGTGCCTGTGGCACATGCTTTGGGTCGTGGCTAATTATCTTTTTCCAACAGTTTTCAGAGAACTTTACTATTGTTCTATTTCATTATGATGGGCGAACAACTGAATGGGATGAGTTTGAGTGGTCAAAGAAGGCAATACATATCAGTGCCCGTAGGCAGACTAAATGGTGAGTTCTAGTTTAAAAATATTGAATGGCAAGCTTGTGTCATGCTTTTTCTGGAAGGCTAGAGAGCTACTTACCTCTTCCTCTCTTTCTAATTGTTAAAACTCTGTAATGCTCCTGAAACTTCTTTTGTTGAAGGTGGTATGCGAAGAGGTTTTTACATCCTGATATTGTGGCTCAATATGACTACATTTTTATTTGGGATGAAGACCTGGGCGTTGAGCATTTCAATGCAGAAGAGTGAGTCTTGAATATGATGTGGATAAATGGAATCTTAGTGATGGTTATCCTTCTTCTACTCAACTTTCTTTTTTGGTTTTTCTTATTGTTCTACTTGTTAATCTGCAGGTATATTAAACTAGTGAGGAAGCACGGCTTGGAGATTTCACAGCCTGGTCTGGATCCTAACGGAGTGTTAACCTGGCAAATGACAAAGAGAAGATTTGATCATGAAGTTCACAAGTAAGAACATTGGGACTGGTTTAACAGAATTTTAAATTCAGATTAATCTATTGAGGAAATAACACATTTTTACATTTCCTTATCTGATTCAGGGAAACAGAGGAGAGACCAAACTGGTGCACAGATCCACATCTTCCCCCTTGTGCAGCGTATGTGTAACTTTGATTACTATCCTGGTTATTGCCATGAATTTTGTCCTATGTCCTCCACTTTCATATACACAAATTAAGGCTAATAGGCTGAGAAAAAAAAAAAAAAGTCGGGATTAGTAATTGATTCTATTATGCCCTTTCTTTCAATGCAGGTTTGTTGAGATTATGGCTCCAGTGTTTTCACGAGATGCTTGGCGGTGTGTGTGGCATATGATGCAGGTATCCTGCTCTTGTTCTTTTAACACCATTTCTGAGGTATCATTTAGCTTGTTACTGATGATCATTATTGTCTTGGGGATTTTGCAGAATGACTTGGTCCACGGCTGGGGTCTTGATTTTGCACTAAGAAAATGTGTTGAAGTATATCCTTTCTCTGCCCTGATCTTTCTCCTTGCAAAGAGATTATTTCCCCTATTGTGTGATTGTGACAGAAGTCTTTTACTAATATTAGTTATAACTTCTGGAAACAGCCTTCCCATGAAAAGATAGGAGTCGTTGATGCTCAATGGATTGTTCATCAATCTGTTCCCTCTCTTGGTAATCAGGTAATGCAAAATGATTGCTCAATTTCTTTTAATCCTTCTATGCTTGAATGCAGTACTTACATACATTTTTGATGTTCACAGGGAGAGTCAGATAATGGCAAGGCACCATGGCAAGGGGTATATGAAACCTTACAACAAATCTTCATTTGTTATACTTTTAAAAATATTTTTCACTATTTTTACCTATGAATAAAATATTCTCTATCCATTTGTCTCTCTTTGCCACTTTCTTTTTGTATGCATTCTAATGTAAGAATTCCTTTTGTTGAGAAAAATATTAGCTTGTCACTGAGCCTTGTGTTTACATTTAGTCTTCTATTTATTTGTATTCTGCTGACAGGTGAGGGAGAGGTGTAGAAACGAGTGGAGAATGTTTCAAGATCGATTCACAAGTGCAGAAAATGCATATTACCAGTCACTGGGAATTAATCCCTCCAATTCTTCAGAACCACATTAGGTGACACCACGGTACAACACTGACTGTACACATTTCACTATTGTATAAGAACCAGAGTGCTTAGGTTCTCAGAAAAGTTTGGAAAATTTATTATCATTATAGCTCTATCTACTATTTATTAAAAGGCTCCCAATTATTATTAGATTTTCATTTCTTGAATTGGGACCATTGCTTCATTCATGTATATCCCTCAATCGTTAATACTGTTCTTGGCTGCTGTTGTGGCTTTTTCTGCTGCGGATTTAACATTATCTTCATATTCCTTTGTCTGAATTTTGAAGTAGCATGTGTACCTTATCCTGGAGTGGAAGCCGTGTACTGGAGTTTAAGATATGTGGACGTAAATAGTGTCATATGGCTCTAGAGCTTGATGTTAGAATGTTTTTGTTGTTTATTGCCCCTTTTAACGTGGTTCCTTTTCTGAGAGAGTCGCTCCAATATATCACTCAACCATTGCATTAAGACTGACTAGTGGGCTAGTGGTCATGACCATAACTCTGGACTCTAATACCACCAAATCTAATTTGGATTTTGCAAGGGTTGGCTTAATTGATAAGATTCGAAAGTTTTAAGCTTAAAAATCAATGAAATTCTACCCTACAATGTGTCACCTCTTCTTTGGCTGCAGTTAAATTGAAGGACGCATGTTCTGTCACAACTTACCTCTCATGTTCAGGTGAAAATGCCGCCACAACCTGATTTTTTTTTTCTTTTTACGCTGGATTATTATCTCTCTTTTAAAATTAACTATATTTCGGTTAAATTTGTGTCAAAAAATTTAATTTCTTAAACTTAGCTAAGTCATTTTTTGTGCGACTTCTCTGGGATCCTTTTTTAGGAAAACCTTATATTAAACATGTCGTAATAATTGAATTAAATCTTTGA